GCTCTTGATTGCTTTCCTCCTCCCCTCCCCTCCCCTGAAAATTCACTGGTTGGTGTTTTTTTATTCAATTATTAGTAATGTGCAGTTATATTTTGATGTCAAAATTAGCAGGAGAAAAACTTCTAGAATGTGCTTATGTGCCTGGTGTCGCGTGCTGCTTAGAGGTATGCCTAGAGAATTGAGTGTTGCGGAATTGGATTGTCTTCTGTATCAGATGATATAAAGTAGGAGTACAAGCCAAAGCGAAAGGCATGAATCAAATGGATTACAGGGTTAACCCTGAGTCCTGACCAATGTAAAACTATGACCTCTACAGTATTAAGAAATGCTGGTATCCTTTTGATGATAACTGGTCTTGTAACTAATCTTGTGTTTATCGGTCATGTGTTGCATGGTGCGCCTGCTAGCGCCTTCCTTGATTCCTTCCTTGAGCCACAGCCACGACGCGCCCAACCTGATGCTCCTATGCCCTGTTCGCTTGGCTGATAAGCTATGGCTGAAAGCATTCTTGGCTGATTTGCTGTGAGAGAAAAATACTGTTTCCGTTGGCTGAAAAAGTACGGCTTATAAACCAAGCGAACATGATTTGTTCGCCAAAGGAGCAGTCGACACGGGCTCAACGTATGCGAAGCTGCGGAGGATGTGCCGTCCGCCGCCGCTTACCGGCAATCAGCTCGAGCCTTTTCCAAGTTCCGATCAACCCTCTCGCCATCGCCCTTTTTCAGCCGCTCACGGTACAAGGGTAGCTCCACGATGCCCAGGATGGCGGCGACCACCTCCTGCTTCTGCTTGACGCGCGCGCGGTCCTCTCCTCGGCCACGCGGTGAAGCTGCGTCACTCAGCGGCTTCACGACGCCCCTGCCTTCCACCAGCATCTTCTCCCCGGCGCGCTCGATGCTCGACACTCCGCGCTCCTTGATCCTGTGTGCGTACAGCGCCTCGTCCTCCCCCCTGCAGCAGCAAGTCGCCGTGCCGCACGGCGTGCGGCCCAGGCACGTGCCGCGGCAGGCCGCGCAGCTGCACCCTGCGCGAGAGGCTCCACCCGGAAGTCGGGCTGTGCCTCACGCTGGTGACCACGCACGGCGTCGCGTCCGCATCGAGCAGCCGGCAGTAGAGCGGCCTCCGGTGGACGTCGAACGGCGGGGGCTCGACCAGCGTGGCCTCCTCTTGGCTCAGATGAAAGCGGACGAGTCTGGCTCTCGCCACCTCGTAATGTGTGAGCCAGTACACTGCGCCGTTGCTGTACACGGCGCCGGCGGCGGCCAGGCAGCACGCGGCACCGGGAGCGCGCACGGGCCTCCAGTACCTGTCTCCTACTCTGTGCACGTACACCACCCCCTTCTTCCCCGTGGAACCGGAACGACTCGCGATCTTGTAGTCATGTGGGACGTGCACGATCTTGTACAGCTTAGCGGTCGGGTCGAAGCCGAGGCAGTACGCGCGCTGGTCGCGCCGCGTGCTCGTGCACGGAGACGGCGGCGGCGGCGGTGGCAGGGCGAGCGACTCGCCGGTGGCCGGGTTGGAGATCCTGACGGCGCAGCTGCGCACGTCTAGGAGGCAGAGCAGGCCGCCGCAGGTTCCGATCATGTCAACCGATGTGCCCGCCGTGAACTTGGCCGTGACGGCCCACCGCTCGTCGAGAACGAGGCCGCGGCCGGGCCGTGGCTTGGCGCCGCCGAGCACCGGGGGAAAGAACACGACCGTGTGCGTCGGCGCCTTTTGGCTACCATCCGGCGCGCGGTCCTCGCGGGGGCTCGCATCAGCGCCATCGTCGTGCGGCGTTGCCGATCGGCCGGTGGCACCGTGTGCGGTGGGCGCCGGAGCTTGCCGCATCTGCCGTAGCACACAAATGGGCAGTGGCTTGGGCGCTTGGCCGTGTGCCGAGGTGGAATCGGAGTGAAGTTGCACGCTTGGGCTACCTCGGTTCTCCTGCTCGGAACGTTCTACGATTACGAGGTCCAAAAAAAGAAGTGCATGCGCGGATTTTATACGCGGTGCAGTAGGAGAGCAGCGGATCACGATCCTGAGATGATAATAAGTGCAGTGGTCGTACGTAGTACGAAATGTGTTAGCAGTATTTGTTTTTATAAAGAAAGATTAGTAGTAATGGTCAGTCGTCACAATTGATTCAGTTCCTCACGCAGCGTGCAGGCTTGAGGTTTCCCAGACGACCCAACCGTAACAACGACGCTGATCCCATTATTTTTAGATAGACAATAGTCAGACCGTTTCCTTTCACCTTAAACAATGCTGCCGGTCTATTTTTGCTTGCCAAGGAATGCTAAAGAATAAGAATCTCCGGTGGCTCTGGCGCTATCTACTGCAGCTGCACTGTAGAGGAGCCGGGGCCCCTGCACTGCAGGTAACGTGTACAGGACAACACAGTTCCGCACAGGAGAGGATACATAGCCTGTTAGACGGGAGCGGTGCCAAAGACGGCCTAATGATATGTATGTGCTGTATCAGTCATTATGCCAAGAGCTATATTTTGGAGAAACGAGTTCATCACGCGAGAGTTATGAATTCCAAGATACATGAGGTCAATATTTGGGTGACTTGGGCACTAAGGCATTTTTGCATATGTAGTACAATGCTTTCTCTTTGTGTGTGTGTGTGTGTGGGGGGGGGGGGGGGGGGGTCAAATGGCCTTAAATGACCTTGTTGAAAATAGGAAGGTAATATGACGGGAACTCTATTTCTACAAACATTTTTTGAAAGGTAATCATCCCCATTTTCATTAACGTCTCAATGGAAATACAAGAGGTTCGTGATGGGTTGTAACACGGTCTGATAGGCGGCGCCCTATCGCTGATCAACTCTGATAGAAATAGGTCGTACACCAAGAATATGGACACAAGTTAGGGGTACAACCGCTTTGAGTGGAGAGTAATACCCCTGCATTCTTTGCATGGATCGTATTGCATTTTATGAAAATTGCTGGATTTTAATTGGGCTTGGCTCATTTTTTTTTGAAATGTGGGTTTGGCTCAATTTTATTTAATTCAAACCAAATAAATCTTAGGATCCATATTAAATGCAAGGTGTAATAAAATCTTAGTCTTGTATAATAATTTGACTAAAGGTTAATTCAACTTAAATAGATGACAGCTATGTGCATCCTCTTTGAAGTTGCGAGGCAAAAAAACATGCTACACACTACTACAGAAACTTTTTTGGAGGCAGGCAAATTGGATTAACCGATACGGGCATTACAATCGCCTTCAATCAAAGGTCATGGTAAATCAAATCTTTCCCGATGCGGTTCAAATGCCCGCCTCGGTAAATCAAATAAAAAAAAAAAAAAAATCTATGGACAAGCCCAGTGAGCCCATCCACGGGCCCACCGAGCCCATCCACGCGCCGCCACCGCTGCTAGGGCGTGTCCTCCATCATCGAGCCACAGTCGGATCCGCGCCATTCGGGAGGGAGAAGAGGGAATGCCGCCGGATCCGACCTCCCCACACGTTGCTGCAGCTGGATCTGGCCTCCCCACGTGCCGCCACCGTCGGATCCGTGTCGCTCGGGGAGGGAGAAGAGGCAGCTGAGCCAATCTACCCTCGCCCTCGCCGGATCCAACCTCCCCACGCGCTGCCTTGCCAGATCCGGGCCGGTCGGGGAAGGAGAAGAGGGAGCTAAGGTGGATCCTCGCCACCAGATCCGGCCTCCCCATGCACCACCGCCATTGGAGAAGGAGCCGGGCCCCGCACGCCGCCGCCGCTGGAGGAGATGCTGGGTTCTGTCGTGCTCCGTCGCGTGGGGGACAGGGAGGCCGCCCCACCGCCGCGTGGGGGAGAGGGAGGGGTGCGGGGAGGGAGAGGGGCGCGGTCGTGTGCACCGTCGCTGGGGGAGGGTGGGGCTCGGGGAGAGACAGGGGCGCGGACGCACGGTGTGCGCCGTTGCTGGGGAGAGGGAGGGGCGGGGAGAGAAAGCTGAGAGAGAGTAGGGGTTGTGACCTAAGTCATCATATTTATATAAGCCCGATAGAAGTTGGACTTGGGCTTTTTGTTGGGCCTCGGGAATATTAACGAAATCGGACCTGATCAGGAGTCCGCCTCCGAAAATGGCCTCTATTTTTGGAGACGGACTCCTTAAAAGGCCCGCCTCCGTAAATCGATTTTAGGTGGTGGTTATTTTCTGACCGCCTTCGTAAATCGATTTTACGAGGCGGACAATTGTGACCGCCTCCGTAGATGAAAATGCCCACCTCCGGAAATCCCTTGGCATTTTATGAGGCGGTTGGATTTTGTGACCATCTCCGTAAATCTTAGGATCCATATTAGATGCTAGGTGTAATAAAATCTTAGTCTCGTATGAGAATTTGACTAAAGGTTAATTCAACTTAAATAGATGACAGCTATGTGCATCCATTTTGAAGTTGAGAGGCAAAAAAAGTGCTACACGCAAGCGTGACATGTCGAGCCAGGTAAAGCCCGCCACAACACCATGATGTGGTGTGATAGGCTGGTTTTGCCACTTGGGTCAGTTGTTAGTGGTCCAATGCATGGTTACTGCGCATTATGGTTGTGGTTACCCTCTGTTACCGATAATGTCGCTAGGGTTTATGGTGCCTAGGTTTATTCCTCTGCGTTCTGGCATTATAAGAAAGGTGCCTCCTATCTATCTCTCGTATGAACATACACATCTTGCATCATCTGTTCTCTCTGTTGCTGTCGCTTTTCAATTTCCCCATTCTAGAGCTCTTGTATTCAGTCTTGTATCCGTTCTCTGTATTGTTGCTGCCTTCTAATTTCCCTATCTCAGAGGTCCTACGCACATATGGTGATTTGGGAGAGTAGGCCTACAGAGCCGACATCCGCTGCGCCTCCAGAAACAACGTCCACTGTGAAACCTATATGGATGGCGAGTGATCAGGTTTTTAGGGAGCGTGCTCCGCACAACTGCTCGCTCTTTTCCAATACACAACACACTTCCTAGCGATCTTGTACACAGTGAAGGATAATGACTATTCCTGATGATGTGCTAGTACAAGGCATGCGAGAATGACCAGACGACATTCTTTCTGCACAACATGGATCGCTGAGCGTGAAGGACTCCATCAACAACTTACTATGTCATCTAGTGAGAATGTCATTACCGGTGACCTCAGCACTGGTCTGGCTTCAGGGTATACCACTACAAATCTTTTAGTTTCATTGTTTTTACTTTTGATCAATATTTCTAGCATGGTTTTTATGTGAGTAGATCACACTGCTTGTCACTGATATCTTGGATTAAAATGTGCCTAAAATTCAAACAATCCAAAAACATGATAAGCATTTTTTGGTCACTGGTTTTGCTGCTACGCTTAAACCAAACGTTTTTTGTGGCACAAATTACAAGAGGTAGCGTGACAAGTGCGTTTTGTGGCTATCATCTATCCACTACTTCTTTGTTGCACAAGGTCGACATGTAGGAGCGCATAACTTCGAGGAAGATTGCCAAATAGGTTGACAATATGTTTCAAGGTGCAATAATAAGCATGATAGATGACAGGATTGTTACTCGCAACTCCTAGGTCCTCCCGCGCTGTCGCTCCTAGGGTTAGGAAAACACTGCCGCCGCTCCTAGGTCCTCGTCGTCGCCATCGCCGTGCCTCTGCCTAGGGCCCCTCTTCTTCCTCTCCGGTGCATCTGCCGAAGGTAAGAAGGAGAGGGGACCCATCTCTCTTTTCTGCATTTTTATATCCAATCTACCGATGAAATTAGATGATTTTCGGTCGGGATCGTGTTTCCTGCGATGACTTCGATGATTGCCACGACGAGATCGGCGTTGTAGACATCAATTTCATCAGCAAGCGGCCAATTTGTGGCCTTTATGTGCAAGGGGAGGGGTGCTTCTAGGAGCCCTTTACGAGGACACCGACTCCGGATCATCGATCTCATTGTCGATGGTCGCAGAGAGGAATTCAAGGTATCAAGGTGATGAATCTGCATCCTATGTCGTACCTGATGATGCAACTGCCGATATTCTTTCAGCGATTTAGATGCGTTTTGGACTGGTACCGAAGCGTTGGATCTTGCAGCATGTTCAATATTTTGGGGTTGGTCGTTAGATTCGGCATAAGGACTGCACTTTGGCTCCAGCGTTTGAGGGAAACCATTTAGGAAGAAGACGATGGAAGAATCTGGATAGAACATTATGTGTTTTTTATTTCAGATTTTTTTCATGTGTAATTTGGGGATATACTGTGCCAAGATTTAATATAAGTCCCTCTTTCCCTTCACAAAAAAGATGATAGGATTGTTGATGCTTGTATGTGGTTGCCTATGGGCAAAGAGATATGGAGTGCACTGGAGGCCAAGCTTTGGGTTTCTGGTGCCGGTAGCGATTTGTCCTATAGTAGAGCAAGCTTATGAAATACTAACAATGGCAACAGAACTTGAGAACTTTTGATGTGTGCTGCTAGATAAGTTTGTGGGCTTGTGGCAGGAGGCATTATTGCCAAGCTACAACCTTCTTTGACGAGTTTTGTTACTTCTCTAAAACATAAGAGACGTGACTTTGGCATTGCTAATTTCATTGGCTGTTTATATGTTGAGCAGAAAGCGAGAGCAAAATATGCTCATGGCAAGAAAGTTGAGGGGAGTTCTAGCACCCATGCGGTCAAAAAGAAAAATCATCACACCTCCCACAACCACAAGAAAAAAGCGAGAACTCTAACAATAGAGCACACTGAATAAACCCATGTAGAAATCCCAAGGAGGATGATGGCACTATAGTTACTCAAAATAGTAAGAGACAAGGTACTGTGAAGTCTTTTTGGTGATAACTACATTGTATACCTTATGGACAACACTCCAAGAACTATTGAGGAGTCATATTCATCTCCTTACGCTAACTTATTGAAGGAGCAGTACTAAGTTAGATGGATTATATTATGTCTAAGGGAACTTGGTTGGTCATTGATCGTCCTTACAGGTGCAAACTTGTAGGATCCAAATGAGTGTTCAAGAAAAACGCTGGCCTGATGGTACTATTGAAAAGTATAAGACAAGTCTTGTGGACAAGGGTCATATGTAGAAAGAAGCCGAAAGCATTTTTGATACTTATTAACCTATTTTTCGATTGACCACAGTTCGAGTGTTTCTTTCCTTGGTGGCCTCTCATGGTCTTCTCATTCATCTTTCTTGAATGGGGAGCTAGAGGAGACCTATATGGATTAACCTGATGGATTTGTAGCAAAAGTCAAGAGGGAATGATTTTTAAATTGTTGAAGTCTTTACATGGCATGAAGCGAGCACCTAAGCTATGGCATGAGAAGTTTGACATAACTTTTACTTATGCTAGCTTTATTGTGAAGAATGAAGCTAACAAATATGTGCACTATCACTATAGTGTGGGGAAAGGTGTGATCTTGTGTTTATATGTGGATGATAGACTAATCTTTGGAACTAGCCTTAACATGGTTAGCCTTAACATGGTTAAGAGCTGAAGGATCTCTTGTCGAACAACTTTGAGATGAAAGATTTTGAGTTGGTGATGTTATTATTAAGTATTAACATTAAGCTACTAAGAGATCAATTGAGATACTCCTAGATTGTTGGCTCACTCTTGTACTTGGCTAGCGCAAAGAGGACTAATATCTCATTCGTTGTAAGCAAACTAAGCTGATTTATTTTAAATCCAGGAGATGATCATTGGCGCGATCTTAAGAGAGTAATGCGCTTTATAAAGGGCATTGTGGGCCTTCACTATGCTAGGTACCCAAGGGTATTGAGGGCTATAATGATTCAAATTAGATATATGATGTTGATGAGATAAAAGACACAAGTGGATATGTGTTTACACTTGGAGGTGGCATTGCTTGATGGAACTCTTGCAAGTAGGCCGTGCGAGGCATAGGCACGATGGGAGCCAGGCCAGGCCGTGCTTCTTAGTGCTGTGCCTGGGCCAGCCCATCATGCCTGGGCCATATGGCCAAGTATAGATGTCACTGTTATAGGAGTGAAGTCTCCAAGGAGAGGCAGGATAATTTAGCCAGCGAGACAAACAACAAGCTAGACCTAACTAGCTGCCCCTGAAACATTCTCTCTTCCAGCCTCGGTTTCTCACCTGGATCCGCATCCAGAGATTGGTCGTCCTCCTTCTCGTCCCCTTCGCTCTGCGGCGCGCAGGATTCGTCGATCGGTTGGTCTGCGTAGAGATGATCAACAGGTGCTTCTGCTGCGTCGCCGGCGATGATGAGCCGGAGCCAGCCGCCGCGTCACCCGCCGGTCGTCGCACTCGCAGGTACACATATATGCTTCGTTGACCATGAGTATCTGCAAGGCTACCTCGTGATCCCGTGCATGCACGGCTGCATCTCTGATATCGCGATCAGTCGAGCTGATGAATCTTCCTGTGACACTGCCGGATGAATTTGAAGGACGAATCCGTCGAGGACACCTAAGAGCAGGAGTATAGAGTATCCATGGGAGATCTACAGCCTGAAGGAGCTCCTGCAGGCGACCAACAACTTCAACGACAGCAACAAGCTCGGGGAGGGCGGATTCGGCACCGTCTACTGGGGCCGCACCGCCAAGGGCGTCGAGGTATACTAGATATCTGTTCATGGTCTTGTCAGTTTCGTTTATTTGTTGCCGGCGGCGGCCGGCGTGCATCCTGATTCCTGACAAATGTGCGGTGCGATACGTGTTCAGATCGCGGTGAAGCGGCTGAAGGCGATGACGGCCAAGGCGGAGATGGAGTTCGCTATCGAGGTGGAGATCCTCGGCCGTGTCCGTCATAAGAATCTTCTCAGCCTCCGCGGTTTCTACGCCGGCGGCGACGAGCGCCTCATCGTCTATGACTACATGCCCAACCACAGCCTACTCACGCATCTCCACCCCCAACGCGGCGCCCCCTCCTCCCAGCAGCATCAGCCCCTCGACTGGGCACGCCGCGTTGCCATAGCCATCGGTGCCGCCGAGGGCCTCGCGTGAGTCGATCGTCATGCATGCACACACACCATGCACCCAAAGACTCCATTGATTCCTGCAATTTCATCTCGTTAACAATCCGTACGTGTCTTTATTATTTCAGTTACTTGCACCACGAGGCGAACCCGCACATCATACACCGGGACATCAAGGCGAGCAACGTGCTGCTGGACGCGGATTTCGTTCCCAAGGTCGCCGACTTCGGGTTCGCCAAGCTCATACCCGACGGCGTGTCACACCTGACGACGCGGGTGAAGGGCACGCTGGGCTACCTTGCGCCGGAGTACGCCATGTGGGGGAAGGTCTCCGAGAGCTGCGACGTCTACAGCTTCGGCGTTCTCCTCCTGGAACTCGTCAGCGCGCGCCGGCCGCTCGAGAAGTTCCCCGGCGGCGTCAAGCGCGAGATCGTGCAGTGGGCGGCGCCGCTGGTGGACCGCCGCAAGTGGGAGCGCATTGCGGACCCGCGCCTCGCCGGGCGGTTCGACGCGCAGCAGCTCCGCGCCGTGGTCGAGGCCGCCATGCTGTGCACGCAGAGCAACGCCGAGAGCCGGCCGGCCATGGCCGAGGTGGTCGAGATGCTCAGGTTCAGTGGGGAGCGGCGGACAACCAAGGAGATCGTCCCGGTGGTCTCCGCGAGCAGCGAGCTAACGACCCCAGACCTGCAAGACGTCACCTGCAGCAGCGAGCCCCTGGACAGGCGGAGCTAGAAGGTGGCCAAGCTGAGGTGACGATCGATCGTCCATCCAGATTCAGGCATATGTTATTATCATATGCAATTGAGGTGCAAATGGTCAGTGCATTTAGCAGATTGCACTGTTAATTGATATAAGGTTACGCAAACGGCCCGGTGCTGAATTGCTGATGGAGTTTGGTGGGAGAAATCAAGAGTTGTTAATCATCTCGCCTGCAAAGTTTTGTTTGCTTGCGTTGTGGGGTTTGTTGCATTTGCTTATTGTTTGTTCGATATAATATACATGGGAGCTAGCAGATGTGCACATAATCAATATTTCTTCTGTATATAGATACTTTGGGATATTCAACCCCGATGGCCGTTACGTTTTGTATGGTTTATTTAGAGCCAGGAATACAATTGAGGAAGTTAATTAGATACATATGCAATCCGTGCTTGGTTCGCGCGCGGTGCTTTGGATATTTTAGATATTGATGCAACTAGCTAGGTGCCCGAGCGATAAATGGCCAGTTTTACTCTTGTATTCTACTCCTGAACAAAAGTAAGGGCAGTCCCGACCTTTCAGCTAGTATAGTTTTTATATAGCATTAAATACCCTACCACATGTAAGTAAATAACTCGTGTGACAATAGATTTAACGAAGAGAAGAAAACAAAGAGAGAAACTGTTCCTCAGTTGAGAAAATCCACACGTCGTCTCGCGTTCCAAGAGACCAACAAACTACTGATTTTACCTTGGAGACGAGTGGTCGTTTTCTTCCCCATATTTTTGGGGACCCATGATGGGACTACCTCACGCTCCTCAGTCCTCACCATTAGCCTGCGACTTGCTCGCCGCCACGCCTCGTTGGTGCCAACCTTGCACACCCACCACCCCGTTCTCTCATGACGCTTAGGTTCGGCGAGCTCAGTACCAATGGTGGCCTCGTTTCCAAGGGCCTCCTCCGCGCGTGGCACTGGCCAAGGCCATGATGGGGCTAGAATTGTTTTGAGACTTTTTCTGTGTGCCATTATAAAATATCGTAATTCTTTGTGTGCCTCTGAAAAAATTTAGCGGTCTTCAGCGTCACTACTCCAACTTTTTTGGGTCCTCCATGCCACTTCCGTCAGTTCAGGCTCTAACGCCGTCAAACTGCAGGTGTGAAAAGACGAAAATGCCCTTCAGTTCAAATATGTTATTAATTTTTTTGAGCATCTTAACGACTTCAAATGAAAAAACTCAAAACTAGAAAGTTGTAGATCTCGTCGAGATTTATAATTTTTATATAAAATTTATTTTCATTTAATTTCGCAAAAAAAATATGATGATTTTTCTAAGATATATTAATCATATCAAATCATATTTTTTGCGGAATTAAATGAAAATAATTTTTATATGAAAATTATAGATCTCGACGAGATCTACAACTTTTTAGTTTTGAGTTTTTTCATTTGAAGTCGTTAAGATGCTTAAAAAAATTAATAACATATTTGAACTTAAGGGCATTTTCGTCTTTTCACACCTGCAGTTTGACGGCGTTAGAGCCTGAACTGACGGAAGTGGCATGGAGGACCCGAAAAAGTTGGAGTAGTGGCGCTGAAGACCGCTGAATTTTTCCAGGCACACAGGGGATTGCGATCTTTTATAATGGCACACAGGGAAAAGTCTCAATTGTTTTTCGACAACATTCTTAGACGACAAGCAGAGAATCTCTCCCCAAGGCGACCAACAATAGGAAGACTTGGTCGACATGTTGTTGACTCCCGAGATTCCAAAAGCCAATTGACGTCGGTGTGCTTACCACGTCTGCGCTCGTGCCGCAACACCCCTTCCCGCTGCAACACCATGCACCCCTACCACTCGCCACAGCCACAGGTCATGCACAATCATGCCACGTGCAGTCGCCGCAGCCAGCCGTCGGTGCGCTCGCTCACGCCATCGGGTGTGGATAGAGAGAGAGAGAGAGAGAGAGAGAAGAAGGGGGGATAGGAGGGAGAAAATGATGAAAGAGAGATGGCAATAGGATTGGTCGGAATTATTTGTGGATCCCCAGCAAAAAAACTCTACATTAGGTGAGATAGTTTTCAAAAGAGAGTGTCTTATGAGTTATTGACATGACATCTATGGAAACTACTAAATTGTTTTAGGTTGGGACTGCGCTAATGCTTCATCCAACGTCCCTTCTCATTGAAACTTGAAAGTAGTGGTTCAACCATCGTGTGATTTGTGGTCTACATCCATTCATGTGTGGTGTTTCATAGATTAACGGCTTCATCAACCTTCCTTGTCGCTAGGTTACATCAAAGCTGCAAAGTTGACACTGCGATATCGATGTCATATGCATTTTAAGTTTTGTGCTGCAACAACAATATGTACATCCTCCACGAACTGAGCTGATTGGGTTCCTTATGATAGAACCACCGGTCGAATTTGATATCGGTGCTCGCATTTAAGGTTATGCAAACGGTGCTCAATTGCTGATGGTGTTTGGTGGGAGAAATCAATAGTTGTTAATCATCTCGCCTGCAAAGTTTTGTTTGCTTGCGTTGTGGGCTTTGTTGCATTTGCTTATTATTTGTTCGATAATATATATGGGAGCTAGCAGATGTGCACAAATGATGGGTATAATCAATCTTTCTTCTGTACATAGATACTTTGGGATATTCAACCCCAAAGGCCGTTACGTTTGTATGGTTTAGAGCCCCCCCCCATGCGCCCTAAGCGCTCACACTGTTGCCAAATGCGTGCAGCGATCGCATACATGCCACGACCAGCATTAAACTTGCTTGCGCCATCGGGTATGTGGAGAAAAGGGAGAGAGGGGGGGGATAGGAGTAGGAGGGAGAAAAGGGATGAAAGAGAGATGGCAATGGGATTGGTCGGAATTATTTGTGGGTCCCCATCAAGAAATTAAACTCAACGTTAGGTGAGTTTTCAAAGAGAGTGTCTTATTCACATGACATCTATGGAAACTACTAGATTGTTTCAGGTTGGGTCTGCGCTAATGGCTTCATCCAACGTCCCTTCTCATTGAAAGTAGTGGTTCAACCATCGTGTGATTTGTGATCTACATCCATTCAAGTGTGGCGCTTCATAGATTAATGGCTTCATCAACCTTCCTTGTCGCTAGGTAACATCAAAATTGCAGAGTCGACACCGCAGTATCGATGGCATATGCATTTTAAGTTTAGTGCTGCAACAACAATATGTACATCCTCCATGGATTGAGTTTGTTGGGTTCCCTATGGTAGAACCTACACACTTGAATTTGGAATTGGGGCTCACAATTAAGTCAATAGCAACAAAATCACCCTCGGCTCAAAACATCGTTGGAACGGCAACTCTGGTGCAATTTCAAACAAGTGAGGTTTGTTGTTCAAATGTCAATTTGTCATTCAGCAAATATTTGTACTTGAACATGATTGTTGAAAACGTTGTTCAACAATTTTATTCCATTCAAATTTAAATACTTATGCTTAAGCGAGGATTTGGTTATATATGTTCTTTGGCGTATTTAGTTTTTGCTTGGTTGAAGAATTTGGCCTAGAGGGGGCGTCACCTCTTGCTTTGCAATGAGCCCTGGAATATGATATGGGTTGCCTACAACAAAAGTTATTGTCTCAAGCTTGTAGACCGACCAAAATATATAGTTTGGCTGATTGTGGATTCCATAAACAGTTGGTAATCGATATATAATTCTATTACACATATGATGAGTCACGATCGATTCCAACAGAACTCTCATCTGTCTAGAAATAATTTTTTTAGCAACATCGGTCTACTAATAAATTGGATGAAGTACTAAAACTGTCCAAATGGCGGCCCCGTGATGAAGATGAGCAAAAAAAAAAATGGGCATGTTCTCTTCGGAGACAGGAGCAATTTGTAATTGAGCCTTGAAAGCCCAATATTGAGCACCTTTTGTGCCACGACGGAGCTTCCACTATTGTACTACTGTATATGTTTTTACAAGTGGGCCATGGGCTTTTTGCAATATCATATTTGTACCTGTCGAGGCCCGTTAACAGCACTAACGAGCCTAACACTACCATGCTCATAGCCAGTAGATTTTCGTCCCGGGCCGAAAGGAAAAGGGCCCAAACTTTACCAAGGTGTGTGTGTGTATGTAGTATAAAAAAATTAGACATCTGAAATGAGTACCTGCATAATAAGCAAATAACGTAGTGCTTGCTGCCAATAAAAAGAGAGTCACTTGGTCATAAATAAAAGAAGCTTAAAAAAGGGCACTCATCAGGTTAACACTAGTCCTCCATTCCTCCAATAACAAGAGAGAGAGAGAGGCAGCGGGACAACACCAGAGAGAGAGAGCAATACTACGTGCGACAGGTTCCCGTCGTGATCACAGCAAAACTAAAGTAGAGCCCACAAAGACACACACTTCAGGCTATCATCATCATAGTTATCGCGAGACGAGCGACTAGTCGACCCGGCCGCGTCGGTCCATATGGAGCCCTTTTGCGTGCACTTTCGGTGTCAACCGATGGAGAGATATCATCGACTCCTTCGTCGTGTCCCTGTCACGTACTAGTACATGCACTGCACGTATGTCTCTCGATCGCTCACTCTCATCGGTGACGACCTGAATGGCTGAATTCACCTCCTCGACTCTCTCTCCCTCTCTCTTTCTGTGGTGAAGTGAAGAACAGGAGGTAGGCAGGATATGGCCGGGGGCTGTGCAATATGCTCCAGACAAGTCGTATTTGGTCGGTCAATGATCGTCGGAAGATTTGCAGCAAAGGCCAACGCTACAGCCGATGAATCAAGTCAAGTAGTCGTAGGTTTGGCACCTGTAGCCTGTAGATAGGCTAGTGAAGGCATTATTGACACATTCATGTACTCCGCGTGTGGTTAATGTCTTCGATCCTTTTTGTATCGCATGCAGTAGTATCAACCTTGCTGTACTCATAAGCACGGTCTTTTTCGTCCCTTTTTTTTATGATGGGCACGGGAGACAGAAGCAGGAATTTAAACAAGCTATCTACAGCCAGGAGCAATGATCGCACATACCACTTGTGT